GTCGCTGAGACCGGGCCTCGCAGCGTTGGCCCCTTTCTCCTCCCCTCAGCCTGTGAGGAGGGGGTATGGCGGCTGAGGGAGGTCACTGTGGCCTGCCCAGGGTCTGTCCTGGAGAGCCAGGAGCCTCCCTCAGTAGCACCTCTCTCCTGTCCTCTGCTGACCCATCAGAAGGAATGCCGGTATCTGCCACCAGCCCTGGCCTGCCCTCCCTGAGGCCGAAAGGTGGCCTGGTCTGCTGCTGGGCCACCACGCTGAGGCAGCCACAGAGGTCTCAGCTGGGTCCGCTTCTGCAAGGAGGACCCTCATCAGGAGTAGCTGGATGTCCCAGCTCAACTCCACAAGCACTGAGGGCAGCACAGAAAGGACGTTCGGGTGGGCTCACCCACTGGGAGAGTCCTCACAGGTGTTTCTAGAGCAGCCTCGTTAGGTCCTTCCTAGGGAGGATTTGGGCACTTCATGTTCCTTCACATTTGCAACAGAACAGCGTCCAGTGTGGATGAGAGAATTGCTGTGTCAGAAGCACATCCTTTGGTGAACAAGGAAGTCCCACCTGTACTTTCGGTCCAAGAGCCCTGGGTTCTAGTTCTGGGTCTGTCGCTAACTCTTGAGGAACCTGGGATAAACTAAACCACTTACCCCCTCCATGCTTTGGTTTGGTCGCCTGCAAAATGGAGGCCGTATTACACATGCATGAAAATACAGGGCAGGGGAGGAAGTTTTAGCAAAGAAGGGGGACAGTGTGGATCCTGGCCAGTAGCGTCCATTTGCCTGGTGAGTGGCGATACTTGAGAACTAGAGAAAGAAACGAGGCCAGGGTGATGGTTCTGTCACTTGGCTCCTGGAGAAGACCCCTGCCACCTCCCTCTTGTGCTGTGGGGCGGGGGTCCCCTCCTGGCTTCGGACCTGGCCATCTGTCTCCTTCCTCGGCTTTCATCCAGGCGGACGTGGGAGTCCGGAGCGAGCCTGGCGGACTGGCAGGGCCCTTCCCTTTCTAAGAAATCTGGTCATTACCAGGGTTAGGGTCATAGCAAGGGAAGTTTTGTGTTTATTTCCAGTTCAAAAAGTATGTTTAAAAAAGCAGCAGCATAACCATATAGCAGTTTTGAAAAACATAACCCGTTTTCTCGGGATTCCATTCGCCAGGTCAGATTACCCTGTTCCCTCTCGCACGTACTCTTCTGCCGTGATTCAGGGGCGCGCGTGGGTCTGCCGTCCCCTTCTCAGGATACGGTGTTGGCTCTTTCTCTTTGGTCACGTTCTCATCACGGCACTTGTCATTATGATCGTTTCTATGAGGTTTGTCCAAAGGATGTGTCCCAGTCGAATGAGCCACTTGCTGGGCATTTGGGCCTTCCAGTCTTTTCCACAAATGTGAGTGATGTTCATTGAAGTTCTTCTGGCATGTATGTCTTTTTACTTCTCATGGATTATTTCTGTTGGAAAAATCCCCAGGAGAGCCATTAATGGGTCAGAGGCTCGGAACATTCTTATGACTCCCGAAACATATAGTAGTTGCTATTTTAGGAAGAGTGGGAGTTGCTATTTTAGGAAGAGCCTCTATGCTGGGGAGACCAAGCCACATCCCTCGGCTGCTCTGGGTGGTCCTGCACCCCTGTAGAGGCCTGGCTGTGTTTCAGGGAAATTAGGACTGTGGTCAGGGGCATGGAGCACCTCGCTACGCTGGATTGGTTCCCAGGGAGCCCAGAGAGGCTCTTCTGGAGGGACAGGGCTCTGAGCTGGGGTCTGACCCTGTGGGTGCAGGCTGCTAGGGCTGCATAGGCCGGTTGGCTGGGAGCCCAGCACAGGTCGCTGCGACTATCCCAATCCTTGGTGTCCCGCGACCCCTGCCTGTGCACACACCTGAGTGTCCTCTTCCCCGGGCTGGCGGGCCCTCCCCCACTCCTCACACATCTGCCTCTTCCTCCCCTTAGCGAGCACCTGCATGCACGGGTGGCGGGGTCAGGGAGGGCATGGAGGGACAGAGAGAGAGCAAGGCTGAGACATCATGGAAGGCAGGACCTGTCTTTGTCTCCCCTTCATCATTGTGCCCGGACCAGACAGGGTTCCTCGGCCTGGTCGAGTGACCCCAAGGACTCTCTGCTCACCCTGGATACCTACTGGGGCTCTTAACCTATAATAAACCTGTGGCCAGCCTTTGAAACCCAAAGGACTTTAGGCCTCATCTTCCTGAGGCACCTGCTGTCCCCACACCCTCAGTAACACTTCTCCTCAGGTGACAGAACAGCTGCAGCATATTGAGCACTTGCTGTATGCAGGCCTGTTCTCAGTGCCCTACGGTGAGGAGTCACTTCGTCCTCCTGCTTTCCCGACAGCTAACTGTTGCCCGGGATCACGCAGTCAGTCAGCGGCGGGGCAGGGGTCTGAGCTAGGCTGTGGGACCCGGAGCCCAAGCTCTTGACGCCGCCACACCCTCCCGTCCCCGCCAGCCCGGGTTCCTGCCCCGGCACTCGCCGCCTTGTCCCCTCCGGACTCCAGCAGCTCTCCGCCTAGGCCGCCCTGAGGGCTGGCAGGGCCCCAGGCCTCTGGCTTGTCTGGAAAACCCTCCTAGTGGCTCCTGTCCTTCCCAAGCTGAGCGCTTGCTCCTCAGTGCGTGGCCTTAGTTCAGTTTCCGAAGGCCCGTCACCACACGCGGGCAGGGGGCACAGGGCCTACCCCCTGGGCTCCGGCCCCTCATTCCTCTGCGACGGTGCCCCTCGCGGGGTTGTTAGCAGCGGGACCGACATAGCTGTGGAAATGGGAGAATGGTAGCAACCGCTGTGGCACTTCACGCTGGGCTGAGGGCCACTCGCCTGGTCGTTACCCTGTGCCTGACCACAGGAGGGATGGGGAGAGGGACCTCCTGTGGCGCAGGGGTGAGCAGGTGGCGGCTCTGGTCTGCAGACCGTCGTGGGAGCAGAAGGGAAGCTGTCGCTACCGCAGAGCTGTCTTCTTCCGGAGCTGGTGAGGGAGGCCCCAGCCCTCTGGCTTCCGGGGGGCACGGGCCCGGGCCCTTGGGGGCCTCTTGGCTGCCTCACCCAGAGGAGAGGAGCAGAACCTCCACACTTTGGTTCTCCTGCCCCAGAGAAGGTGTGTTTCAAACACAGAGCTGGGTTCTCTGGCCTCAGGGTCCACTGAACACAGCCGAGAACAAGAGCCAGCAGGGCCCCCCGACCCTCGCAGACCCTTGGTGGGAGGCGAGGTCCCCCGCTCCTGTTCCCACCAGGCTGGCGTCCCTGCTGAGGTCTGGGACCCACAGCCTCTGTTCCTCTGGACCGGCCCCAGACGCAGAGGACACAGGCAGCCGCTCTTGGTTTCCTGGCCACCCCTGCACCCAGGTAGCTCCTGTAGCTGGCGGGCTAGACACAGTACTGCTGGACCCCCCTGCCCCTCCCGCCGTGCTCCTCCCTGTCCGTCGGCCGAGCTCTGCAGCACGTGGCCTGGCCCCCCAGAACCACTCCAGCACGGGGGGCAGGCCCAGCCGTGCCTCTCTGTCCCCGCCTGTTGCCCACCTCCCACCCCCACTTCTTCTCCTAGGCCGACCTCAGCTTTGCTGCCTCGCCCCATAGGCCTCAGCCTCCCCTTAGCCACACTTGCCGTACCCCCGCAAACCTCAGCTTGAGCCGCAAGCTCAAGTTTCTCCCCCACCGTCCTTCACCAGACCCATCACACCTGCCTCCCATCTCGGGGCACAGGGTCGTGCAGCCTTGCCGATGCGGTGCCCTGCCTAGGCTTCTCTGTCTGGCTTCACCCCCTCCCAGGGGCTGTCTCCTGCCCCATCTCCCAGCCCCCCAAGCTGGCTCAGTGTCTGCCTGCAGCACGTCCCAAACCAGCCCGTCTGTCCCCTCGCGTCTCTCCGCCTCTGTTCCTGACTTCACAGACGGGCACCTTCCACCCAGAGGCCGAAGCCACGGGCCTGTCCTGCCTGCTTGGTGCAAGCGGTCCCCAAGCCCCACTCTGCCAGGACGACTGCTAACTGGTCGCCCTGCCCTGCCGTGTCACACCCCTGTGCCCTGCAGCTTTCGGGAAGGAGTGCCCCGTTCCTTGCCTGGCACACGAGGCCCTTCGTGGTGCAAAACGGGGGTCGGCAGACATTTTCTGGAAAGGGCCAGAAGAGCCTTTTTCAGCTTTGCAGGCTGTATGTTCTGTGTCACAACAACTCGGCTCTGCTCTCGGAGGGAGAAGACAGCCACAGATGACACGGAAACCAGAGCGGGGGGGGGGCGGGGGCAGCAGACAGGCGGCAGCGGCCCACACGTGGCGGTGTGCCGACCCCCCCACTCCATCCAAACCTACCTCTGGAGCTGCAGGTCCCTGAACCCGGGGTCCTCAGGTCTCTGTGCCTTGTGTATGCGGCTCCCTTGGACAGGATGTTCTCAGCATCTCAGTCTTCAAGCCTCACTTCCAGGAAGTCCTCCTGCTTGCCCCTGACACACCCGGCTGATTCTGGCACCCTTCTTTCTTACTGCCCTGCTCTCCCTCGCTTGTCTTGGCACTTACCAAACTGCACGTCAGGAGGCATGCTCACCTGTCCCCCCATGAGGCCCTCAGCCCTCTGAGGGCAGAGACTCAGTCCTTTGCTGGCATTGGTACCCAGCGTGCTGCCTGGCACGTAGTAGGTCTCCGGTCACGTTGAATCAGGATTCTTGAATGACTGGTCTGTGCAGGGTGCGGTGGATGACACAAGGTCCTGCCCTTGGGGGCCCCCAGTGCAGCGGCTAGAACAGGCCCACGTAGGCACTGTCGCCTTCCCTGGGGCTGTGAGGGTGCTCTGGAGGTTCAGAGCCAAGCATGGGTTTCTTCGTGGGTGTTTGACTCCCATCAGGGCCTGAAGATGCTCCATCACAGGAAGCTGCTGCCCTGGGCCTCTGGCTGCTTCCCAACCTGGGATCTGTGCCGGGAGGGCTCTGGCTGATGTCTGCCGCCGCAAGTATCCGAACGTGCCCCTGGAAGGGTACAGGCTGGACCCTGCCTCCCCACTAACCCGATCTTCCCCCTCCCAGGAGAACCTTATGCTTTCCATCCTGCCCAAGCATGTGGCTGACGAGATGCTGAAGGACATGAAGAAGGACGAGAGCCAGAAGGACCAGCAGCAGTTCAACACCATGTACATGTATCGGCATGAGAACGTCAGGTGCGCCGGGCCTGGGCTCCGAGAGCAGGACGGGGGCCGGACTTTGTGGGGTCGGCCGTGCCCTGTGGGGTTCCAGAGCCTTCCGCCAGGACTAGAAGCCGAGCCATCCCCGCCGTGTGAGCCTCAGCCCCTGCGGGAGCAGTGTTCCCGGCCCATGTTGGGGCTGAGATATCTAAGCTGTGTGGTCCGGCCCCAGCATCGTAGAGACATCACCCAGGGTGGGGAGGTGACATCCGGGAGGTCACCCAGCCATTCAGGGCCAGCACTGGGGCTCACAGCCGTGCTCCTTCCAGGAGGGGTGGGTTCATCCTGGGGCCAGGATCGGGCAGCGTGGGGGAAGGAGGCCCCGTGGAGGAGGGGCCCACAAGGATAAGCTAAACATCAGAGCCCCGAATTCACCCAGGAAGTGCCAAGGGTCTCACTGCTTTGGGGCCTGAGCAAGGGCCCCCTGCGCCGGGGTCCTGGCTGCCTGTGGTGGGCAGCGGGAGCTGGTGGGGGAGCCAGGCACGCTGTCTGGAGCCTCACGGCTGCTGCCCCCCTCCTCTTGCAGCATCCTCTTTGCGGACATCGTGGGCTTCACCCAGCTGTCTTCTGCTTGCAGTGCCCAGGAGCTCGTGAAGCTGCTCAACGAGCTCTTTGCCCGCTTTGACAAGCTGGCCGCCGTGAGTGCCTGGGCCTCGTCGGGCTTTCGGGCTCAGGGGCCACCCTCGGGGCGTGGGCCTGGCCCCCCCCCCCAGCTCATCCGGTTTCCTCGCACCATGTCCAGCAGGGACTCAGAGCCACCCCCCACACCCTGTGCTTTCAGAAATACCACCAGCTGCGGATTAAGATCCTGGGTGACTGTTACTACTGCATCTGCGGCCTGCCCGACTACCGGGAGGACCACGCCGTCTGCTCCATCCTCATGGGGCTCGCCATGGTGGAGGCCATCTCGTGAGTGGGGGGCTCCGGGGGGAGGGGCGGTGGACCACGGGAGAGGCAGGCCTTCCGTGCTCGGTCGTGGGGGCCCAGCGCACCCCAGGCCCCCATGTCCCGTGGGTGTTGCGTTGGTTGGCAGGCGGCCCAGTACCCAGTTCTGGGAAGTGGGGGACGTGGCTCGTCTTCCTCACGGCTGAGGGGCTGCCAGCCTTCCACGGCCTCCGAGGGGCCCAGCCTCCATCCGCTGTGGTTTTCTGGAGAAGTGGCCGTCGTGGTGAAGTCTGTCACAGCCCCTCACATTCATCTGGACTCCCCCCCAGGGCCCCCATTCCTCTCTCAGTGTTTTCTCACTGTGAGCCTCCAGGCCCATCTCCGGTCAGCAAGTCCGTGTGCGGCAGTGTGGGACTGGAACCCTGGCCTCTGCTCTGGGCTCCCAGCTCCACCGCTGCGAGCCGTGAGGACCTTGCACTCTCCCCCTCACACTCCCCGCTGTGCCTTGGAGGCCCTCCCAGGCAGGCCCTGGCTGGATCAGGCCCCAGGAGGGAAGGGGGCTCCTTGCTGAGGCTTCTCCCCCGGCCAGGATGGGGGCCGGGAGGGGTCACCTTGCCACCAGAGGGCCATTTTGCATTGTTACCATCTTCGGGTTAGAGCTCCTCTGACGTTGGCCTAGAAACAGATGCCGC